TGTACCGACGTAATGTTGCCACATCATTCATAAAATATGCTATGTTGTAGACTCAGATCTAAAGTGCTGATCAATTGGCGAATCAAAACACCATTTATATCAAAATATATTCCATGGAATTCGAAATTTTTAATGGTTTGATTTTCTTTTTTTATTGAACTTGTCAACGTATAAAAATTTCCAGGAAGGAGCTGCAATCAACAGAGAGCTGTCTGTTGTATATGGAAAACGGAGATGCCAGATGCTGGATTCCGGGGCACTGCTGCGATGAACTTAATTCTGTTTTAGACCATGATATTAGAGTGAATTTATGTAGAAGTATGGTCAGTGTCACGTTTACTCAACTCATGGGAAGGAAGACCAGCTCTGTGTAAGCTCACTGTTATGTTGAGCCCCGGAATTCAAAATGACGGCAACGTGTTGCGATATTGTAAAATATCATATGTAATTTTTTGCATTTTATTTTGAGGCTAGTGTGGTATCTTTAATGGCTTCATGAAACACCGAATATGACCGTTTGTATGCATCTCTCGAACACCAAAGTGATGCTGTGGAGTAGTTGCATTTCGAAGTAAATTTTCTTTGGTGACTCAATGAAAAAGTGATATTGCTGCATTTCATCCGCACAATTTGAAACCATTCTGGACTGCCCATTCGTCCGACTTCACCTTCACGCGCAAACCACCCAGGAGCCCTTGTGCAATTCAAGTTGACCAAGTATCATATCAATATGCCTCAGCCCCAGTTCAAGTTGTTTCTTTGACCTCAGCAAAGTTTCCAAGGTGGCATGCTATTTAAGCCTTATAGCAATACCTGGATGAGTCCCATTCGATAAAGACACCCGAGCCTCATAACAAGGGCATAGAGTAGACGAATGGCTTTAAAGGACCATGTGAGTTCAGTGATCTGTGTTAACTAATTCGGAATACATGCTCAGAAAAGTGCATCTTTTAAAACCATTCCACAGTTGGAACCCAGTTTGTTAGAAAATTACGCAGCTATCACACAAATTACGGTACATTTCGTCAGCTCACTTACCGCAATTCCTCTCCGGATATATGGTCAAAATGGTCATTTTGATTACTTGGTGTTAAAGAAGTAGAGATTCTGTTTGTGCCTCTATGGTGGTGAGAGAGAATTGTAAAATTTACGAACAGCATAATAACTGGATTTGAATCTGGGTGACAGTGACTTTCACATTGATCCACTGGTCTCAGCGAAACACGTCACTGCGATTGTTCAGCGCGAGGGGGATTTATGTCCTTACAGACGTGTACGCGTACGAACAAGGTAAACGGCCGATATGTGCCATGGACTTTGGGGCATGGTTGGCTGAGGCAGGTCACAACTTCGTCTCCTCCCGCGCTTCCATGAGAGGATGAGAAATCTCTATCAAATGGTGATCATCCAGATATCGCTTTGATGGTTGAATGGTACGCGAGTTTGGCAACTGTGCTGAGACCTACGGAACAACTTAAACGAATACTGAGGCATCTCGAAATGATACTCAGACAGCTTGAATTCCAAAATGTATAGACGCAGTTTCTCCTCTTGTTAGCGCTCATCAGTCAGCAGTAGCCACCGCTCCGGTTGGGGTTTGAAATCCACAGTCCTTTCTTAGAGGACCTAGGTGGTACTATCGTACTAACTACAGCTTTCCCATTTAACCATGATCTACAAATCTTTAACCTCCAGTCACAACCCTTTAGCCTCGACCGGAATTCACCAGTATTTGTTCAGAGATCGTCCCAAATGACCATTAGCCATCTTATACGACCAGAGTGCTACAAATAGAGACAACATTATCTCAATAATCTCCAGTTGAAGGCCGAACACTTAACTCTAGGTAAATATATTTCGCCTCCGACGAGCCGATTGTGGATCAACGAAAGTATATCTCAAGATTGAGCAGAGTGAAATGACCCAGAATAGTATTACTGGATTAGTTCATGTGATCACCGAAATACTATGAAATCCAAATTAGTTTCGTATGGCGGGTTCCTTTGTTTCCCAGCAAATTTTCCCACTTCACTCCCTAAATTTGTTACAATGACAGAGTCCTATTTTCTAGGCTATAAGGTGAATGGGAAATATTTTGGAGGCACAATTATATAAATTCAAGCAATTGTCGCTGTTTGGTCTATATGATTTCACAGACTTGCAAGTAGCAGCCACCATTCGAGTCTTGAGCCGTAGACTAGAAGCAAAATATGCTCTTAGATAGCTCACGCGCATACTTTGTTTCCAAACTCATAAATACCACGCATTACTGATAAAAAGTTTTTTAATTCAAAAAGTAGTAATAATTTTTCCTCATAGACAAATTTAAGAAAACCGTTTCGTTCACACCCCATCGAAAATATGACCTGGCTATGGGTCTGAATGTGATCATCTTCTGATTTAGCGTACTTTCATCTTGATCGTTCAGTGCACCGCTCTACGATGCTGTGCTCCGCTTGCCAACACAGCATGCTTTTCTCTCATTGAACCGCATGTCAAAGAGGGAATCCTGTTAAAACGGGATCCGATAGATTGATTGATTGATTGAATCGATAACGAACCTTACAGGTAATGTCCGAAGGAAACAGCATCACTGGAGAAATCAGGACAGGTTTGCTTTTATTACCCACAGTGAACTGAATGAGAATGTGAATCCCGTTATTTAAGCTTTGATCAGTCTTCGTCATTATCCTGACCGCTCATCGGTGAGAAAATCCTCCAGATTCCACAACTTGAAATAAGGCACATATTACAATCATCGTAGCGTCTAGTGTAGGACCCCTCTCCAGTAATGTTTTCAACAAAGCACAGGGACCGTTATTTTCCAAACGCATGCGAATCCTGGGTGTTTTGAATGAGGTGCGAAGACCTTCTCAACACTGCCCAATTGTTAATTGAACTAGGGCAGTGTTCGTCTGCTTTAGGTTCAGTAGTCTTGGATGCACCAAAATTTGTTCTAACTAATTATTTTCAAAGAGGGGGTTTGCCACCAAGCCTCCTCGTGAATCATGTGTTACACCCCGCCCCACTGAATATATTTGTTTCAGACCTCCATCACTTTTACTGACCCCTCCACCAAGCTCAAGCGCCAGCTGAATGCTCATTATCGTCCAGTTCAACAACACTCTTATTTGGTTCTTCAGTTCACGCCCCTCGAGTTTAGTTGACGACCTTCATAAATCAAAAGGTTTTCCCACTCCATTGATCTTTTCGCCAATAGGCATAATAAACAAAAACGGGGACTCAGTCTCATCCACATGTGAAAGGAATTCTAATTAGCATCAAAGTGGATTATTGCACAACCAACAGACTCCGCCGAAGTAATCTATCCTGTTGCAGAACTAATTAAATTACCATCATTGATTACCATTTTTAAGGGCATTTGTTGATCTCAACCATCTAGATCTGAACCTCGATAACGACCACAAACAGGAGTTTGTGGCTGCATGTTTCTTGTATCGGACGGTGTTCAACGCACTTTGGTATCAATCGTTGCTCAGAACACAGTAAACGCAATTTATCTATATTTCTTCACACGAGGACACCAAAGGTTCACTAACTCCTTCGGAACTCAGTTGACTGACTGACGTAATTTTTAACAAACACGTATACATGAACAGTGATGCACGTTTTATATATAGAAAAGTAAAAAGCAATAAAAATAGGAATAAATATCGAAAATAATAGGCAATAGAATCCAATATCTGTTAGTGTTCCGTGCATTTGTACTGTACTGCGAAGGAATGCAATGGGTCGGATAAATGACCAACGCACAAAAATGATCAGTTCATCCTTCATTGAACGCGAACTATTTGACGTGTTCCCTTCCGCAAAATCCATAAACTGTTCCGAGCCCTTTCCCTGGTCTCAGTCGTGTCTAAAGTAATTGTCCGGATTCAATTTTTAGACTCTTGTCCCGAGGATCATGCCCCTCCGAAAACCTTGTCCGGATACTAACCCAACGATGTCGCTGGAGATTACCTGAAGAAAGTAAAAAGGAAGTGAAATGAATTTTCAGAAATAATGTAGTCACAGTGATACAAACAAAATGTGAAGTGAGATGGTCCAACAGGTTCCGGTCAAACTTAAGTTTCACTAACTCCAAAATAAAATGAATGATAAAACCTTCATTACCTTAAGTCAATCACAGGTATATTGACCAACACCATTCCTAAACCGCTTGATTCGTGCACAAAAAGTGCCCATTTATGCGATCAAGTTAAAATACTAAACAAACATCTGTCGACAGATATCATCGGATTGAAAAAGCGTGGATGGCACCCACGAATGAATTTAAACTAGATCAAGGTTCTTATTCAAACTTACCATAGTATTCCAGTGCTTGTGTCCAACGCTCACAGACGTGTATCGCATACGGGTATTATTATGAAATAATGGGCTCAAAGTCAAACTAAAAGTATCAGAATGTTTTACTGTAATGAAAGTGATTGAGTTATTATCCCGGAACCAGAGGAACAATCAACAGATCCCGACAACTCAACCATTCTACAAAAAAGTGACGTGGAACTACATCTATTTGCCTTACGCTTCTATTTCGCATGAGCTAATTCAGTTCATTGATAGTCACACAAATACAGAATGAACGTATGTGCTCAATGTATTACGCGCAACATGCACATTGCTACTAGAGTTCATACCACACCACTCACGCTAGTAGAACCACCCACACCCATGCTCCCTTAGAAAATCGTGGCAGTTCCGGTTTTCATCTCCTCGGTCAACTTACCCCATTGGCATGATTAACCCAAGGACCATCAGCAATCTCAGACTGACACGTGCCAAATTCTTCACCTACCTAACATGGAATACCACCTGGTCCGGATAGTTCGATTAGACGACAAAAGCGACCATGTGCACACCTAAACTTATTCATATCAAACGCTTCCATCGACCAACAAAATGTCTGGTGCGTCTGGTGAAATCGGGAACACGCGACTTACCGTTAGATTTCTCAGAAATAATCCAGTTGCGAATGCTTTTCAAGTGTCCAAACGTCCCAGCCATGAAGTAAATGGGAATGTGGATACCATGGTTGATGGGGGGAAAAGCTGCGGACGGTTCCGGTCCCAGGAACTGGAACAATGAATACTGGGTGAAAATCCTTCTTCACACGAAGATTTCATCATTTGTCCCCACCTACGCTCAGTCATTTGTCGTGGAGTCAATTCGCTTGAAGACAGAGTGATACTTGAATAACCAGAATCACATATATTTATGTCTGCTGAACCAGAATTCACAAGAGTATGGTTGATGAAACCCGTCGGAGTAGATGTGAAATCCACACCGCTTTGTGTCCACTGAGGCGGAAATATAGGTGATAGCACTTCAGATACCGCAGAAATTGGAGATATCAATGTCATCATCTCGGAATTAACTGATCTACCCCTAGAACCTATAGCCCCATAAGGTCCCGTTGGTGTGTTGAAGGGGTATGACCAGGAGGCCATCCGAACTGCTCCATGCGTGCCCGATCTGCTTCCACTCCCATCCTCGTCCAGTATCTGTTTCAGCGAGAAATCTCGCTGTTGTTCTCGCTGTGTTTGTGATTGGATGTGTTCAAGTTGAGAATGTTGTACTTTCGAGGCCGACAGTCGAACCGACTTCAGTGAGCCCGAAACAACTGACCCAACTCGAGCGGATGTAGTCCCAATTGTTACATCCTCCACAGAACAATCATCATCCGTTTTGGTAGTGGTGGCTGCGGTACTGGTGATAGTAGCTGAACCAGAGGAATCCGTCCACCCGTCACGATTGTCGCTGGTCGACGAGGACTCGTGCAACACTCGATCCAAATGTTCTATATACCAGATCGCTTTTCGTAGAGTGGAAATTTTACTCAACTGTTCGCCCGACTGACACGGAACGACAGCACGCAAACGTTCAAATCCCATATTGATCAGTCGAACACGATTTCGTTCACGCTCGTTTCGGCGTGAGACACGAACTGTGCCCACCGATTGCGGTTTGAGTTTGCCCCGCGCTGTGCCATCTCTGAACGTGGGTCGCGGTTGATCGCTCACATTTCTGGACAGTGTGGTGAGTGCTGGTCGTCTCGACTCGTTCGTGACTATTTTGTTTGTTTGGCGAATCGGTAGATTCTCTTGGTCAACTTCCGCGTGATACTGATTCAATATCCTGACGAATGGTGGCATGTTTGCATCGGGATTTTGCACTGAACGCATCGTGTTTGGTGGTATAGGAGGTTGACCGAATGAGAAATAATGCGAGTTGGTTATGCTTGATCAGTTATGCAATAGTTGATAATGCGTCAGTTGAATATCCGGTATCTGGTTTGATTCGAGTGTTACACGATTGTCGAAGTTGGTTTGATGGAAGCTGAATAGACGGGCAAGCAAGTTGTGGCGAAAGCAATGGAGCAGTCCGAATGGCCTGACCTAAATCGCAACCCACGTGGTTTTTATAGGTCCCGGTTCAGGCCCCGAAACTGCTCACACTCACTACTCAGTCACACGAACGAAAGAATTCTTCTCTTCCCCCTCCCGCGCTGCCTGACCTGCTTCATGGCGTACCATCACGCGCACATACGCACACATGTACTCCCTCCCTCTCTTCTAGCTCACGTCCCAGGATGATGTGCTCTGGTGTCATGTTCGTATATGGTGGTGGTAGTGGTGGTGGTGGTGGTGGTGGTAGTGTGTACAGACTGTGTTAAGCGATCGGTTTGACCCACCATGCTCGCC